CCATACAGAAATATATTAAACTTATTAACAGCCCAAATCATCGCAAGTCACTCCCGCTCAACCACTGCATATCTCTTCTCCCTCTCAAGCAAATTTCTACTTGCTGATGCTTTACACCATCCCACTCCTGCATCAATACAGCTCCAATGCCTACATCAGACGCATCTACAGCTAAAATAAATGTTTTCTATCGGTCAGGTGATATCAATATCGGCTCAGAATGGACTCTTTCTTTTAACGTACTAAATGCTATATCTTGTGCGCTCCTCCAAACAACTTTGCTAGGTGCTCCTTAGTCAAATCTGTCAAGGGAGACGCAACAAAAAAATGTGGTACAAATTTTCGATAGTAGCTTATTAAGCCTATAAAGACATTACTTCCTTTTTAGTTTTTTAGGAACGGTAGCATTCTTAATCGCTTAGATTTTAGTCATTCTGGGCCTCACCCAGGGCCGGCGGAACGTTTTTTAAAGTGGGGGGGGGGGGCTCCACTTATAAGATGAATGGGAATATGAATCATGCAGATCTGGAATCAAATCTAGGTGGTGGGGTCAACATTCCTCCCCCGGGAAAATTTTGATTTCTAGATGGCCAGAAATGACCTTTCTCGACTTTTGAGCGTCTCAATAATAATAATAATAATAATAATAATAATAATAATAATAATAATAATAATAATAATAGTAATAGTAATAGTAATAATAATAATAATAATAATAATATAAATAATAAATAAATAAATAATAATAATAATAATAATAATAATAGTAATAATAATAATAATTTAATTTTCTAAAAAACAGTAACAGGAGGGAGAAGCTAACATATGTTATAGGCTTACATATTCTTTCCATATGATAATATAATAATAATAATATTATAATAATAATAATAATAATTAATAAACTAATTTCAATATCGGCTCAGAATGGACTCTTTCAAGGTTTTCCCCTTTTGAAAATGGTCAGGTAACTTTTTCCATTGTTATTAGAGTAGATAGGCCTTATGTGTGTATACATACACACACAAAAAAAGAGTAGATGCATACGTTTTTTTTTCCATGAATCGATAAATCCCAAAAAGAAAGAGGGGTCCGGGGTTTCTCTACCAGGAAAATTTTGATTCCTAGAAAGCGAGAAATGAGCTTTCCCGACTTCTGAGGTGTCTTTTAATTACTTTTAAGTTCTTCAAAATTCAAGGTTTTCCCCTCTCTTGAAAACGGTCAGGTAATTTTTCCCATTGTTATTACGTAAATAGGCCTGTTATGTGTGTATACATTAAAAAAAATTATGAGTAGTTACATACGATTTTTTTTCCATGAATCGATAAATCTCAAAAAGAAAGGAAGGTCCGGGGGTTCTCCCCCAGGAAAAGTTTGATTCCTAGAAGGCAGGAAATGAGCTTTCCCGACTTCTGAGGTGTCTTTTAAATCAAAAGAAGAAAAGAAAAGAATCGAACACACAGCCACCAGGTTTGCTATTCATTATCCACCATCAACTAAGCTGCCTTAAAAAAATGGTTCGTGTGGGAATCGAACACACAACCACCAGGTTTTGCTATTCATTATCCACCATCAACAAAACTGCCTTAAAAAAATTTAAAAAATGGTTTGTGTGAGAATCGAACACACAACCACCAGTGATTAGTCTGTTTTTTTTCTAATTTGCATAATGAATTTTTCAAAAATCGATTATAAATTTAATTCTACATTTTTAGAAATTAAAATTAACCCTCTTGGCCCACGACCCATTTTTGACACCATGACCATGCGTAATATTAACCTGCAGTGTATATATACAAATATTTTTTTCTAGTAGGATCAGAGTTGACTAACTGGTACTTGGTGTGGTACTAGGTTTATCGCATTTATGGCTTAGAGACCGCAGTTTACCTCCCTCCGTTTAGTCATGCTGAATCAGGAGTAGTAAACTCGGCGATCGTGGGTTCGATTCCCACACGGGGCAAGTTTTTTTTTTAAATCTTTTTATTTATTTTTTTTTTGAAGGTCGTGGGTTCGATTCCCACACGAGCCAGTTTTTTTTTTTTTTTTTTTTTTTTTTTTTTTTAGGCAGTTTAGTCGATTGTGGATAATGAATAGCAAACATGGAGGTTGTGTGTTCGATTCCCACACGAACCATTTTTTTTTCTTTAAGGCAGTTTATTTGGTGGTGGATAATGAATGTATTGTACTCGTTGATAACGTCGCGGAATAACAACAAACAACAACGTGTCATATCCGAGCCTAGGCCGTCATGGAAGTCCACTAGCTCCTGTGTAATTCATGTTGAGCCAACTGCAGACGAAAAAGTTACAATCTTTTCAGAGATAAGCTGGAAGAAAGTTTTAGACAGTTCCCATCAAAGTCGTATATAAAGATGTGGGTTACCCACATCTTTAAATTTGCACAAGTAATTAAAATTGTTTATCGAGCAGATTAATCACACTGATAAACAATACAAGTACTACATTCGGCTTATACATGTCTACGGCCCGGTCTACGCATGTCCAGCAGGGGGTACAAACCAAGGGGTCGTTTAGAGCCGGGGATAAATATCCCCAGTTGGGGTAATGGGTACGTATTTTATAGCTTAGTATGGCCAATGGCGTATCTAGTCTTGGAATGGGGGTGCTGATGGGGTGGGGCCATCAGTGGCGTACCTACGGGATGGGGGGGGGGCGATGGTGAACCAGTTGAGGGCGCTAATTCGCAAAATAAGGTGATTTTAGGTGATTTTTAAGTACTTGACCATGATATTGCGCTTCCCCCCAACCCCCGTAGATATGGAATTGTGCTTTTAGACCACAATATTAGGGACCGGCAATAAAAAGATAACGTTATTTGCATGCACTTTTCTTATTGCCAGAGCGGTTTCTGTACAGTAGGTGCTGATGACATGTGATGGGATAGTGACATGGCGAGGATGAAGAGTGTAGAACACCACAGACTTAGTGTGTGTATACATACATAAAAAAAGATTGAGTAAGTTGCATACGTATTTTTTTTCCATGAATTGATAAATCCCAAAAAGAAAGGGGGGGGGGGGTCCTGTGGTTCTTCCCAGGAAAAAATGTTGATTCCTAGGTGGCGGGAAATTAACTTTCCGGACTTCTGAGTTGTCAGCTCACGGATCCTGAAAAGGTAGGTCTATATTAAATTCTTTTCTTTTCTCCATTTTTTTTTGTTGCCCAAGGGAAGGGTCAGGACCAATGACCCCCACCCCCAGATCCGCCAATGTGAATTGCGAGAAAATGTAACTCGGTCGGGTACTGGATAAACATTCTCTTTTCCATCCTTCTCCTCCTTCTTTTCTTGCATTTCTTTCCTATCATACAAAAATCTCAAAATCTCCAGTCTACAGTCCATTGTATTTTAACAAATGAAAAGATGCTATGGTTGAGGCATCCAATGGAACAAAAATGCATGGATAGAAATACATTTTCATTATGAGTGACGTTATAGTGTAAATAAACAATGTTACGTAATACGAAATCCACCAATGAAATTACAAGAATATATTTAGGTGACATAATTATTTGAATGTTGTAATATGAAATTATTTACCCCTATATAGAGAGAACATGCAATATTCATCAGTTTCCAAACAATTGAATATATAATGGCCTTCATTCTTATTTTTAGAGATAATAATACTAGTCTTACACAACAGAGCTGCGATGCCTCTACGCATTCCACACTATCTCTTTACCCCAGCGATTGGAACAAATTAAGCTCACTGGACAGTGACGGATTCAGGGGTGACAAAAGTGTGAGTACCATGGCAGCAGCATAACATATTTTAATTACAAATCAGGCATATATTTAGGAAACACTCCTTACGACACTTACAAGCAGAAGCATGCTGGATCCGCCCCTGATGGAGAATGTTCGAAAATGCTTCAGCTAGCAATAATAATAAATAATAATATTTGGAATTTAAACCCAGCGAATTTAGGGGGGGGGGGGCGGCTCGGCCCCCACCCCCATCACCTTTTGAGAGGTTAAAAAAGGGGGAAAAAAAAGAATGAAAAAGAAAAAACGAAAAACCTGAACGCCTCAAATGTTATTTTCGGGCGTCTAAAACAGAGACATTTCGCGGGGGCATGCCCCCTGACCTCCAATTTCAGTGTTGTCTCGATAGGCCCAAATTTCGTCCCCCATCCCTTTTGGACATCTCTGGATCCAACACTGAACCTACTAGATTATTCCAGAACAGGAGAAGACCTCGTTGATACAGTGTCTTTGTCTACGGACATGTTGCCAGATTGGCAATGAAACTTTCCATCAAGCCCCGCCTCTTGGATTTTGTTGCCAAGGTCTCACAAAAGTATGAAGTAAATGTACGTAAACATGCGCGTTTGTGGGCCAAAACATGATTTTTTAGGACATGTGCACATTCCTGGTGCTGTTTCGATTGGTCAATTTTTAAATTTGATTTGAACTGTGGACAGATCCAATTACAAGACACAGGTTTGACCATTTGACAAATATATTACTGAGTAAATCTATTTTATTAAAATTTAGCTACTTTTCCAAATTAACCAATGTCTTCATCAGTCATTAAAAAAAATTAAAATCACTTTTCATTTTAGTATTTTCAGCATAGTCTACCTGTTAATTTAAAGATTTTTGATTAATTCTGAATCTACAAGAGAGGAGCTTAGCTCAGTCGGCTAATCTGGTGGTAGCCACTGTGTGTGTGCTGAACCGTGGAGATATCTAGGTCCCCGGTTCAATTCCCATCGCTGCCTCTCCTTGTATTTCAGCTGAGGGCTGAAATACAAGTTACAATAGCGCACCGTCTTTTGGATGAGACATTTAAGCCTTTGGTCCTGTGTACATTTATGGCCCATGTGCACGTTAAAGAACGCAGTACACTCTTCGGAAAAGAGTAGGGGATTATCTCCCGGTATAGTGCCCACCACCACCAGAAGGACCCCACTGGAAATAAGTCTTCTAGACGTTCGTGGGCTATCCTTGGTGTTTACACTGCATAAATCCAATCCAATACAAACATAAAATGAATTTATTTCTGTATTAGCATATTCAGTGACACAGGACTGACTTCACTCATGGATCACACACAAAAAAGAACTTAATATAAAAATATAAATCAGAATATTATAATTAAATATAAACAAAATATAAACAACTTGCCCTTATGATTTGGATGAGGGCAAGAAAACAAAATATGTGAATAGCAAGAGAGAGAATAAAATACATAAATAAATACAAAACTAATCACTGGTTATTTATTTGATTTTCCGAAGTAAAAGCTTCAAGTTATGAATATTACTCTCAAGCAAATAAACATTGTTACATATTATAGTTTTCATTTTGGAATTTCTCTGTTAATGTACAACTTGGGACATTTTCGTCATATATTCCAATAATTACTTGAAATACGGGAAAATAGTCCCCGAAACTCTTCTTTGAGGTAAAACCAGAGGCGGATCCAGAATTTTTTAAACGAGGGGACACCAATTTCATACACACGTACAGTAGATGTAATATACTTATAACGATAAATATGTATCCAATAATTTTATGACTTGTGCTCAATATATGTAGGTATGAAATATTGTAACACTTATTATTTGTATGCCATTTTGTAGTTGTTTCCATTAAAAAATAAGGAACGCCCCTCGAAAGTGGTAAGCCAATCAGTTCACAAGGGTCGTAAAAGCTTTACTGTTACTGAGTCTTCATTTTTCTATACAGATAAAGTCCATGAATGGTTTAATCTGAAAGCTACTTTTCCGACATCAATAAGATGTTAATGATCATAATATGCTTTGTATAGCGCCCTCAACCATACCCTCTCATAGGATTTCTAGGTCAACATGTCTGACGTCAGGATTCACATTCTGTTGAGAAAAGAAAAACAACACTATGTATTAAGTCCTGTCTCAAGGCTATCATTATTTGACAACAAAACATGTGACATGTCTAATATGGTCATGATGACATCACATCATGGCCATATATATAGGCATATCATGACTATATATGGGCATACAACAATTGATTGTAAAAGAAAATTTGATAATCCGGACAAAGCTAAACAGCTAATGTAATATAATCTGGTAATTTATATAGCACCTTTCTTTCCAGATACAAAGCGCTGTAAGTTTTTCCTGGTCATTGGGTCCACATGCTTAATTAAGTGTTGCTGCTAGTAATCAGCGCAGGAGCAGGCAACCCCACCAGGTACCCATTTACACTCCTGGGAGTAGAGAAGCAATGCAGATGAAGTACCTGGCTCAAGGATACGTTGCCAAATAGATAGGTTACAATGGCCAAACTATAACTTTACTGTGATTACTATTAAAATGATGTAAAATGTAAGTAACCATAACTTTGTTATATTACACTGCCATTGAGTTTACTGGAAGCTGCCATCTTCGATTGGGAGCAGGCAACCCCCACCAGGTACCCATTTATACTCCTGGGTGGAGAGAAGCAACGTAGATAAAGTGCCTTGCTCAAGGACACAAGCGAAATGCACAGCGAGGGATTGAAACCCCGATCTCGAGGTTGGGAAACCAAACCGTTCCCGCTGCGCCAAAACGCTTCCACATCGGCATAGAAGGTCTCGAAACGCACAGCGAGTTTAGTTACATGGTGGAGAGATATGTTTAGACAAGTGTACTAGGAGGATGAATTTCAAAAAAACTTGGGACATCTAATGAAGCCATTGTGAGCCAGAAGTCGCAAAACATTAAACTTTCAAAGAACAAAGACAAAACAAGGAAAAACCACAAACAAGATACAATGCAATAAAAGACTAAAAACTTATTAATTCATTCTTTTTTTTTTTATAATTGCAAAAGATGGAGTTTATGGCTGTGATCTTATTTCTGTTTTTGGCTTATCTGTTAAAAATGTTTGATGTCGTAATTCTGCTATTTCCTTATTTGATGTTCAATTTTTTTGAGTTAATGATACTAAATTCAGTTTTATTGTTCGAATACCTAAATTTCATATTTTGCTTGTTGATAAAGATAATTCTATTGATATTTATTATGATTCGTTTAGAAAGTTTAAATGTAAAATTAAGTTATATATTTAGATTTTTGACTGTTTGTGTATACTGTGTGTGATGGGCTACCTGCTGCTAAATGTGAAATGAAATGAAATAATATAAAATAAAATTAAACTAAAAGAATCTATTAAAAAAAAGTCTGAAGATGAGCAAGTAACGGAAGTATCCTTAACTCTATTTGGAAGAAATGACCAAAACACAGGAAAATGATTAATTAATAAATGGTAGGGTAACAGTAAGGGAATGGGTGAAAATCAATATAATAAGATTTGGTTACAGTATGTTACTGATTTCACTACAGATGTTATGCTTATATAAGCATCTAAAACACAAATTTCTTATATGCGAGCACACAAACATTTTAAAAACACATCATACCTTAATTTCTTTCTCTATACGATCTACCTCCATGCCAAGATTATCAATGATATTTTCACCGTGACGAAGCATAAACTGCTCTAGTTGTTCTAAGGTTTCAAACTTCTTCATATCCTTTGTAGAGAGAAGAGAAACAAAAAACATACCGTTAGCAGAACTCATTTACTGATCTTATGCTTCATTTACTGATCTTAATATTAATGAACATTTATAATGCACCTTGTACCCAGCAAAGTTAACCTGAATAAAAATATAGTAAGAGAGAACTAAATTTTTGTTAGTATAAGCACTTGAAAAAAAAAAAAAAATGTATCAAGAAATAACCAACAATGTAAACAGATAACCAGGATAGGGAATCGAGATTTTAATACAGTACTGATAGTAACTTGCCTACAAAATATTAATTAAAATCTAGATACAAGCTCCTATAATAACTTGCAAGCTCTTTGTATTCATAGGTAAAAGTTGCAGCATAAAAAGTTACCTGTAACATAGATTCTATATCTTGGCGATCAAGGTACGACCTGGTCACCTCTTGTCCATCAAAATCCACTTCCGCCTTAAATCTGATTTTATCCACTCCCATAACAGTGGCTTTCACATCATAAACACCTCTGCAATTATTACATATTTTGTGTTTTTTCATAATTAATTCATCAAATTTTTAGCACTGAAATTGTAATAATATGCAATTATTTGTCCATATCAATAGTGCCCTCTCAGTTTTACATGTTTAGGGTAACCAAGCTTTTGAAGGTTTCACCACTAAAGAGTTTATGAAGAATGTTATGATGCGTGTATATCTTTTTAATATATTTCAGACATACACAAAATACTCAAGCATACAGATACGACCATTTGAAGATACATGTAGCACCCATATTTTTTCAGATCCTTTTTATTTTTCGCAATTTTTTTTTCCCAACTCTCTCCTTTCAGCCTAGTCCCTTCCACTTTAAAAGCACTTAAGTGCAACCTCAATGTTAAATGGTTATAAATATTTAAAAAAAAAAAACATATCCCAACTCCTCCACCCCTATTTTCCTGAAAAATAATTTTTGTATAAGAATTGAATGTGGGATTGGAACACCCTAAATCTCATAGTTATTCCAAGTCATCTTGTGAGGGGATGGCCACACAGACAAATGATTATATGTCTACAAAAACTTGTTTTCATTGTCCAATTGACCAATAATGAAACTGGTTTAATTGGCTCATTCTCTCACCTGACCATGACATCATTTTCAAGTGCCTCACTGATATGAGTCAGCTGATCCTGTGGTATTGAACGACCAACTAGTGCTTCAGTGTTTGTGTAGATTAGAAATGTTGACACTACTCCTATGAAGATGAAAAAAAAAAAAAAAAACAGCAGAGAAATCAATACTAAATTCTCCATTTTCTATCCTGTTTATAAGCAGTACTACTAAAAATTATTGATGTAATGATGTAACCTTTAATAATTAGAAGGTCAGTTAGTTCATGCCTATTCCTTTATAAAGTAAGTAAAGACAATGGCAGTGTAAACTGGTAGTGGTATATGCATTTTTAATGCACCTCTTCCTTAAGGTTATAAAGCGCATTTTCCCTGGTCATTGGGTCCACATGCTAAGTGGTGCTGCTGGTAATCAGCGCAGGAGCATGCAACCCCAACAGGTACCCATTTATACTCCCGGGTGGTGATTGAAGCAATGCAGATAAAGTGCCTTGTTCAAAAACACAAGCGAAATGCACAGTGAGGGATTAACACCTTGATGTCAATGTTGGGAAACCAAATGGTTCCTGCTATAAAAACTCATGGTCATGCATTTAAATGGCTACTTGCATGGTCAACCGATTAGTAAAGTTATAGTCCACATAAAGTTTTTATTTACATACTAGTGAGATTATACATTTATTAAACATAACTAAAACTTGTTTAGTATATATTTCAACAATTCACAAAGAATATGAACATGAGTTCCAAGATCATGAACTTAGCTCAGGCAGGTTCACATCAAACATCATGATATGATATTAGTTTGATGTGAGCCAGCCAGGCTTATTCTTCTTGGTCAAAATAATGCTGACACAAAGATTACCTAGAAGACCTCCTATCATAAGGGAACCAAGAGCATCATAGACTGGGCTTCCGGTTAATGATGTCAGTCCCATACAGATGGCAGCAACACTAACGCCAAGAACTGCGACAGAATCTTCAAGTAACACCACATTGACACTAGGGTCCTTGCTCTGCAGAACTTGACAAGAAAAGAATAATTTTAGCCTTGTTTCCACGGCAGGAGATCACCGTGATGATCGCATTTATCTGTTGATATAGGTGTTAAATGACAGTGGCAGCGTAAACGGTGTTAGTAGCTCCGCATAACGGATCAGTAACCGCGATGATCTACGGAGTTAATCATGCATCGCAACGTTGTTCATCGGCACGATCTTACGCAAATTAGCTGTTGTTGCTGGAAGTCGCTGTTGATAAACAGCGTGAATACAACTTATTTTAAAAATTATGCTTTTATCAATTATATACATTTTTAAACTTATATGACGAAGTGTTTCCAAACAAGCAGCAAATTCACATGTTTTTTTTCAGGTCAGTTCTAATCATGTGACTTCATGGTATAACCGATGATTTTTTTTTATCGCTCGTCTGGAGATCATCTGTGTTACTTATACGATAGCAAATGGCCGTGTAAACATGGCTAATAACAACACAACAGGCTGTAAATACCATGATGCTTGCCATTTTAAAGCCAGCACACTGTCACTATTTCTTAAGTTGAGTAATTAGCATAAGAATGTGGCAGTATTGTATACTTTAGTAGTAAGTCATAACACTTTATCTCATAATTTTGGCAATTATATCTCGTTTCCAGTAAATGACTTATCATTTTTAAGGTTTATATTGTGGAGAATATTAATACAGGTCTCTCTCTAATTAAAGACCACCTCCAATTAAAAACTACTTTTCTATGGCCCCAAATGAACGTCTATTTTTTATTTTTATAAGAATAATTATTTTAATTAAGGACTAAAGATACTAGCTACTAAAGAGTGAGAAAACCGAGGTTCCAAAGTGGTCTTTAATTGGAGGGAGACCTGTATATAAAAAATGTCAAGTTTCTTGATTTGGTCACTGACGCTGGCACCGCATCCTAAAAAATCAACGAATTGTATGCCTACATATTGGTGACGGCAGCAACAACAACAACAACAACAACAACAACAACAACAACAACAATAACTACTACAAATAATAACAAATAATAATAATAATAATCTGGCAAAAAAATAGACCGGAATGAAGTTTATAGAGGCCATGATAACAGGCTGATGATGATGATGCTTATGATGATGATGATGATGATGATGGTGATGAATAATTTTAAAAAATAACAATGGATACCACACAAAATTTATAGAAAAAGCAGTGAATAACTTACCATAATTCTTAAAGGAAACTTTTTTCTTCTTTGCTTGTGCTTTTATATGACTAACAGCTGCCATAAGTGTGGCTAACAGAAAATTAAACAAGGATAAAAAGTTATTTAAATTTTGATAATAATCTGTACATATTTTCAAGCCCTGTAAACATTTGCATGAAACTCCACTCGGGCCGTCTCGGATTGATTCGACTCGAGTTTGATATGAACAAGAGCAGGCACTTCCCAATGTCGTGACGCTCGAGTATTCTATTACCTTTACTGTAATGTTCTTTATATATTACGGTATGTTTACCTACGGTAGGCCTATGAAATCTTACCGATTTATGGGATGTAATACTACCTACAACAACAACAGCTAGTACCCCCTTCTATAGTAGTAATACCAGAAGTAAATAGGTAGGCCTACATTCCTATTAAAGGCTAGAGCAAAAGAGGCTAAACTAGTGGGCCTAGTTACAAGCTGAGTTACCGTAGGTCATAGGCCTACCTGCTAGCCCCATGTCAACTTGACCACAAGTATATCGTTATTATCTTTAGTTATTCTATATACCTTTTTATATTTTTATTAATATTATTTTAATATTATTTTTATTAATGCAGTTTTAAGTATTGTAACTTAAATTGTTGACTTGGGGTCGAGTTGACTCGAATTCGTCATGACATAGGTAGGCCTACTTAAATAAAGATGTTCACAATATGTAACTCAAATTCAAATAGGGCCTAACACTTTTTATTATTCGTGCAGCGAAATCAAATATTACATATGTCGTTTTAAACGACCCATTATATTAGCATGGTAACGTCAATGTGTTTTTTTCAAAATCAAACAGCGAGCAGCAATCCTGTATCTCAGAAGTTTTGTAGACGTTTATCTTTGGTTGATGACCTTTTGACCTCCAGAATTCAGATTTTCGAGTCGAGTCAGTCGCAACAGCCCGAGTGGAGTTTCATGCAAATGTTTTGTAAGGAAAAAAAAATTGCGCCCTGTACAGACTATCAAAATTTTATTTGACAAAAACATGTGACATGCCTAAATATGGTCATGATGACATCACATCATGACCATATATAGGCACATAATTTTTATATATTGGCCTGATCACTGGATAATGTAATAATCATACACAATGCAACCTACACCCACCAGCCGTAAATGGTCCAATTATATTATTGAGGTTTTGCATTTTTTTTTTCTTAAAAAAATACAAAAATTTGACCAATGAGCGTCATCGAAATCTGTCGCCAATAAAGTGAGGCACCTTTAAATGCAAACAAACATTTAATCCAGTGCTAGATGACAATTACTTTTTTAAGGTGGGTGATATACAAATTTGTGGAATTCCACAAAAAGTAGAAGCGGTTTGCCGCAGTGGAAATGGTTTTGTTTTCCATCCTTGAGGTCAAGGTTCATATACTTCGTTGTGTATTTCGCTTGAGTCCTGGAGCAAGGAAAGTATGTACATTGCTTCAGTCTACCCAGGAGCTGTATCATTTGGTACAATCATATTGCTGGGAATGACCTGTGATGGACTAGTGTCCCATCCAGGGGGAAGCATCCCACTCTTTTCCTCTTTATGTTACAGTAACTGGGGTACTATATGCTTTTGGCAAGGATTTCAAAGTCAAAGTAAACATTTTATTCATCCTTCAATGAAGGAAACTGAATGCTCGCATAAAACTTCTAAAAACAATGTACAATCACATAAATCACATTTACTTTATATACAAATTTAGAGCAGCTTAGCTCAGTCGGTTAAACTAATGGTAGCCACTGTGTGCGTGCAAAACAGTGGAGATCTCAAGGTCGCCGGTTCAATTCCCATCGCTGCCTCTCCTTGTGTTTCAGCTAGAGGGCTGAAATGCAAGTTACAATAGAGAACCGTTTTTCAAATGAGACGTTTAAGCCGTTGGTCCTGCGTGCATTAACGGCCCATGTACTTTGTACTTTACCTCCTTCTGATAGGAACGATCCACCTAAAATACAGAAAGACCATAGAAGAGATTCCATCTCCTGGGGATGGATGAGACCTTGAATACCATGGTAAACAGATAAACCAGCACCGACACAGAAGATACCGACACCACTGATTAGCGATGACACATAGCGAAGATTAGAATAACCATACCTGCAAAGTAATGGAATGTAGTGTTAGATTTATACTTTTGTTTCAAAGCTCTCGAGGAGTGGATTAGATTCTAAAGTAAATTAAATATAATAATAATAAAGGTAAATATTATTTTAATATTTATTTCATTTCAATCTAATAATAATATAAATGTGGCAAAAAAAAAGTAAGACTTAATTGCTCTGACCAGACTAAAGCCTTGTTCGCACTGGATTTAAAAAATGGTAAATTTTACCAAGGTAACTTTAACCAAAGTCATGGGTACATTTCACCATTGTTCGCACTTGGATTATTCACGCGGTTAGTTTTACCATAGTTTTACCAAGATTTAACCTTGTGTACAAAAATATTATTGAGGGCGCTAGTTTGTGACTTCAACTTCCTGTTTTGTTCGAGTGGTGTCAACATGGAAGAAGTTTAAACCGTGTTGCACGTTCGGATTGGACTTCTTGACCAGCGTGGTTAGTTTAACTGAGACCGCGGTAAGTTTTACTGGGCAGGCTGAGGTCGGTAAAATTAACCATTCGGCTTGGTTAATTTAACCCTGAGGGAATTGTAACCGACGTTCGGATTGGATTTTTTTTGGTCAATTTAGCCACTGACTCGGTTAATTTGACCAAATTAAGTCCAGTGCGATAGGGGCTTAACAGTTTTATTTTTGACAATAAACTGTTGTAAGCCCATATGGCAAAGACATCTCGTCGCAAATCCTTTTTCAGAGATAATGGCCAAAACATGCTGGAATTTCAACATTTTTGAAATCTATTTTATTGCACTAAACTAACCTTTATATATCTATATATCATGTTATGCTGTTATTTTCTCCATTTTCAAAGTTGAAACAACAATTTGTAACGATTTGATGATCGTTTCTACCCAAGAAATGCCCGAAATCATAAACTTTTAAGGCTGATTTCTTAAATATTATTCTTCAAACAGCTGTATGTTTAAACTCCAGTAACTTCATAATGAAATGTCGGATTTAAATGATTCTTTTACCATTTTATAGCTCTCATTCCATTGTGTAACCCCTGTATTAATAACTACAAATCAAATTTGCGATGATTGACTGATTTGGCTTGTCTTTGCCACATACATATTCTTGTGATGTGATATCATCATGACCATATTTAGGCGTCTCACATGTTTTTGTCAAAAAAATCTGATAGTGCTTAAAAGAATAAAAGATTTTGCTGATTATTATTAATAATTTGTTGTTACTAATATTTTCAGTTCACTGTTATTTGCACTTATAAGTCGACCTATTATTATTTTCTACTTTGTAATACTCACGGATGATCCGGATTAGGTTTTTTGATCGACTGATTGATGCCGACAGCTAAAATTGCCTGGTTGCAGGCATCCGCAGCAGAGTGAATGGCCTCGGAAAACATACTGGCTGAGCCAGAATATAACCAGGCTATCACTTTGAATCCAAAATTTGCTAAATTTCTACAAGTAAAGAAAATACAAAATTGAATATATTCAATGAAATTGTTGCAATGTATATATCTGTAACGTGTTGACTTGCGGGGACGAGAGTTCACATTCCAAAGTGGGTTCGCACATGGCGCCAAGATGCAAGTCCATGTGCTAAGGTGGCACTTTTGTAATGTACGTAAACTCGCTAGCAGTGGTGGCCAGAACACAGTCCCTCAGCTAGCAGTTCAAGTAAAAACCTGTAACTTTTGTTCATGTTTCATTACAGCTGATGGAAATGAGGTTCATTATGTTGACGCCTTCTATCTCTTAACATCTGGGGAAAATTCATGCCAGCCAATAATGTAATTTTTTTTTTTCCAATACATATTTTCTCGTGGCCCATTTTCTTCTTATCTCTTATTATCACAATTTTATAAGTAGAGAATATAGAATAGAAACTTGAACACAAAGCATTTCTTTTGTTTATATTCACCCATATTTGTTTGGAAATACCAAAGTATCATTAAGTTTGAAAGTAATACACAAATTAGAAAACCCAACCATAGCTTATAGTCAAGTTTGGTTTCATTTACTGTACACAATGTAATATAGAGCTTCATAAAGGATAAAGGTTTCACTAAAATATCTACATTTTTATACGGAAAAAAAAAATGTGAATATGTGCACAATGTCAAAAACACCCTTACAGTTTGCTCATATTTCATTTCATTTCATTCTGGTTTTTATTTAAAAAATTGACATTGCAGTACAAAACCGAATTGAACCAATTTACAAAAATTTATAAAATCAATCATTAAAAATACATTATATATCATTAATAAAAAAAACACATACATGAGAATGCTATTTAATAGATGAAAACAATACACATTATCATCATCATCATCATCATCTGCATCATCATCATCATCATTATTATTATTATTTTTATTAGTGCAAATTACACTGGTGAAATGTATACAGAAATATTCCTTACATTGCAATGGCCAGGAGAACAACTCTTCCTGTACCATCCAAAAATGATTCTGTAGGCTGCAAAAAAAAAAAAAAAAAAGAGATAAATTCATTATGAAATGCTATGCAGTGATATAGTGAACAAAACTATGCTAACCTCAATCAGACCACAACAAGCGGTTATGCAGCACGTGCAAAGCGCATTAGACATTTCAAATGAACACGTCATTTTGCTGTATAACGTACAGTGTTGTTGAATTAAAATTTGATGTTTAATATACGTCTATCATTCAAATGACTAGGAGGTGAAAGCATTACCCTAATATAAAGTAAAGTGTTGTTACTGTATGTCACAGTATAACAGCATCGCTGCTTTATAAATACTGTGGTGGTTACAGGTCAGTGCTTCACAAGCTCTTCACCCAATTGCTACCCAGCATCTATCTGTCTCAGGGCAGCTCACTGTGGCCCTGCTTATGTTGCAAAATTCACTTTTTAAATTGACTTTTTGTATTATATCATTATATATTGGGCTATATGGCTAAACAGTGGTTTTCTGAAGAATGCAAAAATATCCCCCCCACACCCACCCTATCCCCCCCCCCCAACCACCCCCACCCCCCCCCACCCCCCCCCAAAAAAAAAATGCTCCAGGAAAATGCACAGTGCCCATGACCTTTGGTCACGCGTTTACATATATATTTTTAAAGCTCTAATTAAAATAATAGGTGAAAGGCCAACCTTATCTGTACCAAAGAAACTGTCATGTTGTTTGATGGCTTTCTTTAACAGAAATATATCTGAAAATAATTTAATTTATATTTAATAAATAAATGTTATAATTTATTATACATTTATCATATACTGTATAATGCAACTGCAAGATTAAAGCACATTATTTTCCTAGTCAATCAATCCTGACATTATTTTAACAATACATTAATTTTTTCCCTTGCCAGTTGTATTTATATAACGTTTTTTCACTGTTTCTAACGAATTCAGCTTACTTTCTTTTTGATCTTCCATCTGTTCTTTCTTCTTTTTCTTTGCCCTCTCTAGAGCCTCAAAACTTCCCCACACCTCTAAAGCCCTAAATAAAGTTTTGAATCAAAAATTGGTGTGTGAATTTAAAGACAATACAAAGTTTTTGTTTAAAAAACATTTTGAGAGGGACAAGTCAAACACGATCATGATTCAAACCAAAAACTCACAGATTGATTATTAATTAGTTACAATAAAGATTTAAATCATACTTGACTTCGACATCTGAGCGTAGGTAGACCATTAACGTCTGTTGGTTATCATACGGACTCCTCCTCGCTGTCTTCCGCAAATTCTCCAAATCGCTGTCAAGATCCAAATGTTATTATTATTATTATTATTTTTATTATTATTATTATTGATAGTAATTGTTATTGTCGTGATGGAATAATAGACAATAACTGGATTTGCGTCAAGAGAAACATGTATAGGTGTAATTTTGCCCTACCTGACGTGGAAATGTACTGAATACTTAGTACATTTGAAAACAACTGCGAAAAAATCGCAAGTTGTTCTCGGGTGGGACTCGAACCCACGATCTCCAGATCACTAGCCTGGCGTCATACCTCTAGACCACCGAGCTTGCGCCTGATGGCCAGGGTTGAATTCGAGTCCAAGTAAGCAGCGGGTACTGCAGTGTTGATAGTCCCACCCGAGAACAACTTACGATTTTTTTCGCAGTTGTTTTCAAATGTACTGAATATTCGGTACATTTCCACGTCATGTACGGCAAAAATACACCTATACATTATTATTATTATTATTATTATTATTATTATTATTATTATTATTATTATTATTTAACCATTCCTTGAGTTGGAACAATTGGTAATCAGTGACTAGCAATGCTAGTGTATATATGCCCAACTATGTGATTGTAATGGAAAAGAAAGTATGGAAAGATAACGGCAAGGCAACTTAGGAATAAGGGTGAGATAGACTAAATGCCATAAAAATTAATCTTTATAGTAATATAAATGGTGACAACCTAATATGGTGATGGTATCTAAACAGTAGCAGCGGTATGGACGAGGTTTTACGTTATGTGGCGGGAATAAAAAGTTATGGTGCAAAATTGATAGTGGAAAGACAGTGGTGAGGTAAGAGGTGGGGGGGGGGCAGTGGTCACAAATGGATACAATAGTGTGAGGGGTCACAGTAAAAGATGGTGGCACGTGGTGATAGTGGTAAGGTGTGGCAAGAAATGAAATAAGAATTTGATCCAGGTGAATGGGGGGGGGGTAATAACGTAAAGCGCAGTATATTGCAATATGCTCTTTATATAATTTGCATCATTATTATTTTATTATTATTATTATGTTTATCATGAATTAAGCTTAAAGAAATTGCAACAGATAAAGTGTTTTGGTTAAATTTATTTTAATTATGTTTTTGTCAGTTGCACCGAATGTGCCAGTAAACAAAAGACTGCAACAGAAATTGCAGGATTCTGTACAATGAAGATTTTGAAATAAAGTTTGAATACAGATCATTAGTAATACAGATGCCAGTGACAAGTAATTTTAACAAACAGAAGTACAGTAATTAACATAATTGCAATGACAAGGTGACATTACCAATAGTGACAATTAGCGAGCTTGGTGACCTTGATATGGACAGAGGTATAGGATGATTGACACATAATATTGAAATAGCATAGGAAACAATATCAAAAGGAAACAATGGCATGAAGTAATTGGCTACCTTGATTTCAAGAGATATTCCTTCATTGCACGTATAGCAGTGATGGTCGAGTTGTCACTGTATTTTCTGCTATAATCTACCTTCTTGCGTCGAAACATGTACGGCTTTGTAATTTCTTGTAAAATACAGAATACAATTTTTATTATTACAATGACAATGGTAGGCCTAATAAAAAATAAATAAACAAACAAATAAAAAAGAAAAAAGTGAGGAATTCTAAAGGATGTTTAAAAAATTTCTCACATAAAAAAAAAAAATTACATTGCATTGTCTGTCATGGAAAGCCTTGTTTCGCTCATACGAAGTTAGTTAAGCATTTTTGAGTGATATTAATTTAACAATTAAAATTGTTTATTGTTATCTTTTATGCTAGTTTTGAATTGATAAAATTTAACATTCTATCATACTTTTAGTCATCTATATCCATACAGATAAATTTGTAGCAGTACATTAACAAAAATATAACGTGATCATCCGATCAAAAAACAGATAATAAGCAGTCTACGGAGCTCTTGCGTCGTAATAAACAAAGAACAAATAAAACATTAGAACAATGGGGCAGGAACCTAAATAGAGTCAAAATGGACACACCTTAGTATTATATGGTGTAAGAAGTATTGGTATTTATTCAAATCACAATCAACAGTCCATTTGTACCAATTCCTACCTTCTGGAACTGGTTCATATTTTTGGTTAGTATTGGCATCATCCACATCATTTGCATCCGTAGATGTAGTAGTAGTTGTTCCACTGACATCATCAGAGGGAGGCTTGCTACAAATAGTCCTCACAGCTTCAAATAATGAAGCTCTTTTAAAAGTTTCTGGATACAAGATCTTGAATGTATTTTCTTTAAATGGAATAAAATTCTGATAATTATTCAATACGCCTTGTTGACAATGCGCTAGACATGTTCGATCGATGACAAGCGTAACCAACAGAAATAACACAGCGTTTCGGCCATATTTCCAGAGGTCATGTTATTAAAAAAATCATAAAATAATTAACGGAGAATTTTATCAACATAATTTTTTCTTTGCAAAAGGCATATCTACGTACTGTATGAATAAAAAAAAAAAATTGAAAATTTGTTTAGTCTGTCAAAACTTAATTTGAAAATAGATGAGGGATTTTGTAATGTGTGTTGCTATTATTTCAATTAAGTTTTGACAGACTAAAAAAAAAAAATTATCTCAATACGACTCTCTGTTAAGGAGTTATGATATTTTTTAGTAACTTAACCTCCGAAAAAAAGGCCGAAACGCTATGTTATTTCTATTGGTTATGCTTCACCGCTTAGCACATGTCTACCACATAGTGAAAAAGGCATATTAAAAACAAAATTGGTTTTCAAACACAAAAATACAAACATAAATTATACTATTAGCTAGGTATTATAGGCCTAGTCATGTTTGTCTACATTCATACAAGGTTAGGTGAAGTGCAGTGGCTATTGTTACATCAATCTTCGTCTAATTCTTAATTCTGCTTAAATTAAAGTGTTTATTTGTTTAGTTTTTAAGTTGTGACAAATAAAAAGTCATTCACACAGGAATTGAACACAGGACCCCGAAAAAAAAGCAAGCATCTTAACCAAAGCTTTATAACAAAAACAACATATTCTTGTCTATCCATCCAAAGAAATTTCATAATATAAATTGGTTTAACTTCAAGACTGACTGGTGTGAGTTAATCCACTGCCTAATTAAGGTCAGGCGTAGGGCCTAGCCTAGATAGGTAGGCCTAGGTGACTACTACTACGTCTTCAGATTAGGGTGCTGAGTAGTGATTTGTCCCATCATTTGTGTACTCCTTGGTGTAGTAAACAACAAAATCTAACCTTTCGAATGGGCGTGACGAACATTCTGCGTTGCCAAAACATTGGTGGTGTGCCTTTCTTGATTTGAAAAAGTTTTATTAACATTGTCATTATTATTGCAATGTATTGTTCTTGTATTGATTCTGTCTAATAAAACCGGTCTTACATCAGATAAACATGAATTTAAATTTGATAATAATAAGCACCGCGTGTGAATGCAGTTAACGTTCAATCTAAATGGTAAACTGAAAACAGAAGTGTGCAATAATGTTTTGCTAGCCCGCAGAACGCGAAGCATACTATTATGACTAGCGACAGGACTCGGACAACTATGCCAGAAACACCGCTCTCTCAATCTGTTTTGTAGTATGTTGCCTGATCGATCACGAAGGCCTGGAGAAAGTTGACATCTTAACAATCTATTGAGGATATTGGATTTCGCAAAAACAGATGGCACGATATACATTGCACCTAGTTAAAGTACTGATAAAATTACAACTTGCAACATGTTTACTTATTTAAAAAAAACGATTAAAACAGGTCCATCTCCTTGACCTTGTCTAAACAATAACACAGAGGAGGCCTAACTAACGGACTGTCGAGTCGATCGATATTTCGAGCGGAGAATGCCAGCTCGAGCTAAACAGAACCACTATTGCTAATACCACAGATCCTATATACAACTTGGACGATTCCATGAGTGGTACCGGGTGGATAGATAGGTACTCAATCTTCATCACAACGAGCGGAAATTGAGTGTTTATTATTAAAACAACAGCCTCCAAGATTACCTCTGATATACAAATAAAATAACAAGTTAAAACCCATGGTGTAGTCGATCATCGACGAAATGGAAGAAAGGGTTTGGTAGGAGGGTTGGGGGCTGTCTTGGGGGGGGGGGGTAATCCGTAGCCAGGATTTTTAAATATCGCGGGGACAATATCAGGGTGGACTCACTTTTACGTGTAAATCCAAATAATGTGGACTCATTTTCTAAAAGTTGTACTATTTAACACAAAGATATTAAAAATCTTGACCCTGATTTTCTAAAAGGTTTACCCATTTTAGGCAATATCAGAAATCTGGATCCTAAAGTGGAGTCATTAATGCATAACAAAACTGCATAATTTTGATTTTTTTTAAATGTGGACCCATTATTTGTGGACCCATTAGAACATTTGTGTGGGACTGTCCCAACTGTCCCTAGGTGCATATGTCAAACTATTCATAATACACATGAGAATTTATAGTTTGTGTTACAGTAAAATCAGCAATATAAGTGTATATAAGTAACTTTATAGACCAGCCTAATTTTAATTGCTTTGCTAAGACCTTCCTTTCCCCTCATGTTTTTCAAATTTAACATTATATCCATATTCTGTTTTACAGCGCATTGAACTTGATATGCGCTATAAGAATGAACTATTATTAGGTTATTATTATTATTACTATTGTTATTGTCATTATTATTATTATTATTATTATTATTATTATTATTATTATCATCATCATTATAATTAATATTGTTATTATAATAACTAAGAATCTATATATCTCAAATTATAAAACAATGTTAAAATAAAATGATTAATTGATTAAATTGGGTTATTATTATTAGGCCTATTATTATCATTAGTATTATTTTTATTATTATTATTATTATTATTATTACTATTATTATTATTATTATTATTATTATTATTATTATTATTATTATTATTATTATTATTACTATTATTATTATTACTATTATTATCTAGAGGGTGCGCTCACTTCGGTTGTTACTCTCTAGTACCGTATGTGAAGCGTGTATTCGATGAAAAGGAAAACAAAACTTACCACTAAAAGGAGATAGGTTGCATGTTGCCTCGCTCCATGATTTTCTTTCGTAATGTCAGAAATTCAGTAGTAAGATATTTTTTTTTAATGAATTAAGCCTACATAGACAATTCTTTGAATTCCGGTGCATGTGGTTTTGATATCATTCTTTAAAAGAAAAAAATAAATATTTAAACACCCTGAGATGAGACAGCATTGGTCGCTAAAGCAAAATTTTATTGTAGCTCATTGTGTTTGTTATTTGTAGCCAGGTTCTTCCAAGAGGGGGTTTTCTGGGCGCGAGGTCCACAGTCAATGCCCCGGTGGGGTCGGCGAAACCCCCAAAGCAAGAGGATTTTTGTGCTTTATGTATCTAAATAATGCTATAAAAGCAGATATGTTTAAAAATGTCTGTGTCTGGGTGGGTATGCAGTGCATTAGTTGGGTTGGAGGACTTATTTGGGAAATTTAAAGAGGAGGTTTAGCCAGAAAAGAGGGGGGTTTGCTAGAAAAGGGGGGTTCTCCCGAACCATAAAAAAAACCCCAGGATACGGGCCTAGATAATGAGAAAAAGTGATCTGGCCATGGCCGGTGTGGGCAGCGAGTGACCCCGTGGTTCCGACTTAACCAAAGAGTCTGATTATTCGGTTGAATGCCGTCATTCGTCCAAATTCGCACATGTGGCATTCGCTCGAAATGTTATCTTCATGAACCACATACGCTCGAGCTTGCAAAACAATAACAAACGATACTAGTTGCCAGAATTAAAATCATATAATAATGTTTACGTACATTTTATTTATCCTGTGTTAAATTATGTGGTCTTACCAATAGCTTGGATTTTACTAACAAGAAAATATTACTCAATGAATTAACGATTCGACAGTTGAATTGCTGTGATAAAAAGTAAAGCAGGCTGTAAAATATTGTTACACTAGAGGTGGGAAGCAAAGATACTAGAAATACAAGATAGAGTTCTCGCATTGTAAAAATGAGGCGGAAGTCGTGCCCAACGTAGGCGGCGCCCTTCTTTTTAACCATGCAAGTTTCCTATACTTCGTGCCCAACGTACCCCTTCTGTTGCTAAGTATATCCAGACGCAAAAGGCGCCCTTCCTTTTCCACTAATGAAGGAAAACTTTTTCACTAAGAGTGCGTCCGGCCATGCGATTCTGCGCTGTATTGTTGTTTTATTCTTTGCTGATTCATCATTATGCTTTAATTGTTTTGTGTATTATTTGGATAATAGCAACGATTTCTACCGCCACCAAGGAGGTTATGTATTCACCGATGTCACTGTCTGTGGGTGTCTATTCCAGTTTGTTTTTATATCTACTATCTTTGTTGAGAATTGATAATAAAATACGCGACGACTTGGTAACGAAAGTTGGGTACAAGTTTTTTTAGATCCAGCTGTAGGGGGCGTCCCATTTTTCGTATTCCCACCATGCATTTCGGTGGCACACGGTGGAACACTTTTTTTTGTGTGGAGAACTCTATCTTGTACTAGTTTTTCTTTTCTTCTTGAAAGCCTGGCAACTTTCAGATTCACTGCACGCCGCCCTCATTGACAATTTCTACATTTGTTTATAAAAATAATGATTCTGCTGCTCCACTACCGCTGTACTGACAACTGAGTAGCTAGATTGTTTATGTTCTATAGGCCTAGTGTTCAACGTGAAATGTTTGGAAGTGTTCAAAATATGAAATACGAGTTTAGGCCTATTTGGTCAGCTAGAAAACAATGAGCTGGTTGAATTTCTACTTAGTTAGTACACTCAGTTGAGTTATTTGATTGCAATATAAACGGAATTCATATAAACTGGGCGTACCCGTACCGAATTCCTTTCAACAAGCTCCTCCGAGTTCCATCCAGGCCTGGTGGTAGCGATAATACAGACAGGTAGGTCCTAGGTATTAGGCTAGTGAAATGTCAATTTTGAGACGGGCAACTCCGTTAGGCCTAGGCCTACTAGATGCCTGGGGATATGACTTCTTTGGCCGCCGACAAGTTCGGCTGTGCGGAATTTGTATGGAGCCCCATTTTTTGGGCCTACTTCTGGTGGAGTTTTAATATGAAGCATTACACCACAGGCCTAGTATATACAGGGAGATGTAAAAAATATTTTTTACATCTCCCTGGTATATAGACGGTCCTAGACCATAGCTTATTTGGTAAATATTCCATTGCTTCAGGAGAGATGGCCTAGGCCTACCCGCCCTACTTACTGTGCACAGAATATTTTCAAAAATTGTAGAATCCCACTTGTGTCGACTACATGATTTCCCCCTCTCCTTATAATATTTATGATGATATAGACCTAAGTAATAGTCAATAGGCCTAGAGGCTAGATTGTTAGTCATACTGTACGTTTGTTTTAATTCTTCTTAGTAATATTGGAAAAATTCACTACTTCGAGGCTTATTCCATGTACTAGTTGCCTAGAAACTACCTATAAAAAAATTGGAAAAAAGCTTTCCCACAAACAGGTTCCCACGGTAGACACATTCTTCGTACGCCGCTTACCGTAGGTATATTTTTAGGTGCAAACATGTTTGATGCAGTGAAGGGGTCACGTGTGTTCATCTACCTATCCAACTAGGCCACAAGTCAACTCGGTCACAGTCAACTCGGTCACAGTCAACTCGGCCACAAGTCAACTCGGCCACAAGTCAAACTCGTCCACAAGTCAACTCGGCCACAAGTCAACTCGGCCACAAAAAGTTCGGCTACAGTCAACTCGGCCACAAGTCAATTCGGCCACGAGCGTGGTTCTAAAGAAAATAGTATCGAAATGCACACCATCGTACATTTATTTGATTTTAGTCGGATTTAAAATAAATTTGTAACATTTAAAAAATCATAATGTGGTTTTTCTATTTAAATTTTTTATGATTAGGTCTACAGTATGTACTCATGTTTTATGTAAATGTTTTAACATGAAAAAAAATGAAACATTAATAATGTGTTTTTCTTAATTATTAAGATTGCTTAAATTGTTAATGTTACATTATTGTCAGATTTTATTCCATTCTGTAAGTGGCGGGTTTTCTCTGTTGAATAAGAGTAGTGTGAAGAAATTAATACAACGATCTCACGACGATGATCAAAATTTTACTAAAATATATACTGTGTACTTCATTTCAATCATATTGAAGAAAAAGGATGCAAAAACTGAGTAATATTTACATTTCATTTTAATTATTTTATTCTATAGGCCTATATATGTTATTTATTATAAATAACTTGTGGCCGAGTTGACTTGTGGCCGAGTTAACTTGTGGCCGAGTTGACTTGTGGCCGATTTGACTGTAGCCAAACTTTTTGTGGCCGAGTTGATTTGTGGCCGAGTTGACTTGTGGCCGAGTTGACTTGTGGCCGAGTTGACTTGTGGCCGAGTTGACTGTGGCCGTGTTGACTTGTGGCCGAGTTAACCTGCTTCCGTACTGCATACATTGCACTTACAATTTCGAATCCAACTGAGCTCCCTGTGTAAGCATTAGGCACCATCTACTGTACTAATTGTCCGTAGCAGTCCGAGCTGATCATTAAAAGCAATCTATTCTGCGCACCATATTATTTCTTTCTCCATATAGAATTGCGTAGGCCAAAGACCGCCAGACACAGTCTCAGACTGTAAAGTAAGGCCTGCGCGAGGAAAATATCCTCCATGCAAAAACTGTACACTAGAAATCTGTCCAAATCAATTTTCCGAAAGCAAGGGGCGTAACCACCGCCTTTTCAACCTGCCCCCCCCCCCCACCAGTTTTTAAAATTTAAAAATCCCATTAACCGTTTCTTTCCTCAAATA